CCCCCCGTCCCCCCCCCCCCCGGTGCCGGGCCGCCGCGCGAGTGGAGACGCCACTTCGGTCGGTGCCTGGGCAAACCAGCCCCGCGGTGGGGCTTATGGAGCCGCACGAGGCTTTGTGTGAAAAGTGTAACTGTCCAGCTGAACCCCAGGAGGAGCCGATAAAACCGGCGTGTGACCGTACGTAAAACCTGCCCTTCGAAATGTGACCGTGTCAAGGTCTGTCCGTGAGCGTCCTGGCCACTGCTGCAGGCACCACATGGCTGAGGAAAGTCGTAGTAATGACTGCTACTTCGCTAGCTTAAATGAAATTATTCCCCCAGTTTCTCCCAGCAGCACGCGGGCTGTGATAAGCACTCCTTGCTTGAGGAGTGTTTTTTAGCCTAGATTAAAGTATCTAAAGGCTAGTTTCTTGCTCTTTTCTTTCCCCTGTTAAGTAGAATGAATTCAGTCAGGTTGTGATTGTTGATATTTATTTGCAGTGGAGAAATACGTATCGATAGTTAAAGTACGCCTCTGTCTTACAGATTGGATCACTCAAAAATCACTACCTATTCAGACGTAAAAGCCATCCAAGACGGTCTCGAAGAAGTGCCATTCATATCACTAAAAGACTTTCCGATGATGAGCGGGTGAGTGTTACATTTTTTCCTTTTCATGCCCTCTGTTTATTCTGTCTCCTTATTGCGAGCTTTGTAATGAGGTCACAGGCAGGCTTTCCCGGTTTTGCAAGTCTAATATGTTCAGCCATCCACACTCGTGCTGAATAATACTTTATTATTCTGTCATTAACAGGCAGAATCTGACCCTCTCTTACCATATTTTTTGCAAGTGCTTTCCAAATTAAGATTTAAGATATGCAGCATTGCAGAGGCGTGGAATTTCAGATGATGTGTCGCTGATCAAAATATGGATGAGGAACCACAGGGCTTGATTCAAAGCAGAAATCTGTAGATGCAGTAAGTTTAATCAGGCCACGTCTGTGCAATTGCCATGGGAATTAGGTTTGATTTAAAGTGCCTGAATATTAAAAAAAAAAAAAAAGTAGGGGAAAAGGGCCAAGGTTTTGCTAGATTCGCTTCTTCTATGACAAGGTAAAACCCCTTCTGAAAGGGTCCACCACACCTTCTAGACTTGCGGTCTTTTGGCACGCTGGGATCGCACTGCAGCCAGAGAACAGGCAGGCGGGAGAGCCGGGGTGCTGAGGTACGATCCGCTGGTGAAGCAGACTCCCCCTGCACTTGACTGCATTTCAGAGGGAAGCACGTCTGTTTGTAAACATTCTGAGAGAACGGGGTGGGTGGCGGATTCAAGGAACGACCAGCGTGCCGCCAGCCCCTCTTAAAAACAACTTGTGGCAAATTTCAGAACAACGAAATTTGAATTTCAAATCAGCATTATTGCAGCAATCACTGTAGAAATACAAGCAGTCCAAACCAAGAAGTAACGTAGTTGTGAACACCAGCAATTTATCATAGAAGAACAAATCACTTGGGAACGAGTGGTTGGTTATCAGCAGGTTTCAGATGCAAATGTCATCTAGGAGGAAATATTCTATGCGCAGCGAGAAGAATTAAAGGAGGGGCTGAGACAGGGTATTTGTTTTGCCCGTTCCCTTTCAAAACCGTACACTCCCATCTATCTCCTTGCAAACATCGTTTTAACAGCTGAAGTCTTCTAGGTGAAATAGCTCTAAACTGGGGGTGTTCAAAACCACAGCTCTAGTGTAAATTACTGCTCTAATTTATGCCCATACCAACGATCAAATGCTCAGTGCCATCGCAGCACAATGTTCAGGAACAAAGTTTTGTTTGCGGTTCCTCCCTTTTTTGGGCTTACTGCGTCGAACGCATCTCTTGCACAGGGAAGCACGGCCGCGTTTAATATACCAGACTCTAATGTCGTAAGCAGAATGGAAGCAATTGTGTTACGCACATTACTGCCAAACGTTATTGCAGACTTACATACTTGGATCCAAAAACAGAGCTTCAAAGTGCTGCAGGTGATTTGCTAAATTTACTCCAATTTCCCTGTTATTTACCAACCAGTATGCAAATTAACTATGTGAATGAATGAGATGTAATTATGTCATTATGTAAGTATATAAACACAAAGCAATCATGTAGTGCTGTGTGGTTATACATGGACCTTTGCTCCAAAGAGCCACTCTTGTTCAGCAGCAGCCTATTTTAAAAGATTTAGTTCAATCTTTAAAAAGGGAGAGAGAAGGGAATCCTGCTTTTGTTTGTGTAACGCCTTCATGAATTTTACGGCATGTTAAGTGTGAAGGCTGGGGTAAAACTTGGCTCTAATCTGAGTATTTATCTGCTTCCTATAGATGTCCCAGTGTTTGTTGTAAAATAGATAAGGGCTGTGAATGTTTTGAAAGGGTATAATTACCCAATTCCCTAACTTCTTCCAGTATTTGTGCTAGTTTCCAAATCTACTTTCTTGCACCAGACCCGAGTCAAGATTATGTTCACTGCTTTCTGTATCAGCGACTGGCAATTTGGCACAGGGCCTTCAGCTTTTGCCGTGGAGGGATGGTTGGAACCTCACCCAGCTGCCGAGTGACAGACATTTGGCTTGTTTGTCTGACGTATGTGCTTGGTGGTTTCAGCTCATTTCCCTCAGTGCAGTTGTCCACGCTGAAAAAAATAACAAGCGTGGAAGTTGTCAACTGTTAATTACTGTTGGGTGGTGAAGAGGCCAAGCTTTGCTGTGGGCAGGGAAGAGAGATAAAGGTAATTGCTCTAACCTGTGTACAAGTATGTGTGGCCCTGGATATCAACAGGGCAGTTTAAAATACGCGTACTTGCGTGGGTATATCCATCTTCTGTGACTAACTATGGTTTGTAGGCATTTCAGCACTAAATACATAGCAAAGGGAGTAGCATTAGAGAGCTTTCAGTAAATGTGCCTGCTGTAGCTACCATTTCTCAGCATTTATGTTCCCGTAGTGAACTTTCATTAGGCTCTCACTAGAAAATCATATTTTAATCAGATCACTACTTTTTGTAATCATTATAATTTCTGAGTCAGTCTTCTTGTTTCATATAAGGTGATAGATGTAAGGACCATAAAGCCATTGGATCACAGCACAGAAAAATAATGAAATGTATTCAGATGTTTAAAGCAAAAGGTCAGGTCCAAAGCGTCCCCCACTTGAGGTGTATAGCAGGATCTTGGCAATCTACCGAGCCTGAGTTTGCTTTGCTCATCTGGAAATAGGGATGAAAAGCACCAACTTGATCTGTGTCAGAGTGACCATACAGGTAGTAGCAATGAATAACATTTTATTCCTATTTCCACACAGCACAGAGAGAGATGTTAGAATCAGGATTTGGTCTGAACTGGGTTTAGTGATGCATTCAAGGGGACAAAGTGGGATCCACTTTTAAAATGCAGCCTGGTGACCTAGGGATTGCTGTGTCCGCGTACAAATGCTACGGAACTCGTTGTATCGGTGCTTCAGCAAAACAGGCTGAGGCATTTTGCCTTTCAGTTGCCTTAAGTGGAATTACGCCACAGTGATGTAGTCCAGTATTTGTAGCTTACTAATTGATCACACTTCAAAGCACCACTGGGAAGGAGACTCGAGGGTCCGGCTGCGCTATGAGTAACAGCGTCATTATGACTACTAGACTAAAGCCACAGATAATCTTTCTCCTTTTCTTTTAACTCCCAATAGAAATAGATAGGCAAAAAAATGTAGGTAGGAGAAAGAAGCAGGCTGTGGTTTTGCCTGTTTGGGTAACCACCGCAGCTTAGATAACCTTCTGTCTGTACTACACATTTGATATAAAAGCCTGCATTGTGTGGTGCTCGCAGGAGTTCTACTGTTAACTTGTCCTTAATGATGTTCTATTAATTGATTCTACAGTATCGTGGTTTCACCAAGTCCTCTCCCCCAAAGTACACCGTACCACAGTATAAATAATCATCCTCTCTGCATCAGATGTTGCCCGTTTTGCTTTACGCATCAAGATTTTGCTGCATGAGGAAACCCCTTGCCCTCTAGGCTAAGAAAGTCCTAACCTATAGAGGCTTACTTGTCCTATTTATCCAAATAATTGTAGGTGTCATGGGCAGAGCAGCAATACGAAAAAAAGCGAACTAAGCGTGCCACTGTGAGAGACTCAGCAGAAAATCTTTTCAATGATCCTATGTGGAATCAGCAGTGGTATCTGGTAAGAATTTGTTTCATTGTGGAACTGGGGATGGTGAATTTCAGTTGTGCTACCAGCTGTATTATTTCACTCATGTCACAGTGGCTGCACTGAAGGGAGCGAATAGAAGAAGAATCCCTCTCATTAGCATATGCTATAAAAATGAGAGATCCCTGTGACAGTATTTCCAGGCAACCTTCTGTTTTCTTCAAAGTGTCATTTGTGCAAAGATTCTAACAGCCAATTCAGGCTGCTGCTTAGGATGGGGATTGATATTAAAAAGCAGTGTGACAGTTAAAAGCTACCTTTGTGATAATTTTAAAATGTTTGCTGTTGGCATATAGGAAGTCCCTTATGATGCCTGAAGCCGGCCATGTATTTCTTTATTAAAATTGGTAGTGCAGCGTGCATACTCCAGACGAAAACAAAAGCATATGCGTGCACGTGACAAGCAGCTTCAGCCTCTTTGGACTAGTATTTAAATAGAAGAGGTCCTCCGCAGCTCACGTGTTCAAAACCTCCAGGGAAAGAAATTTCCTGAGCTCTGTGGTTTCTATCTGCATGTCACAACTAAGAAATGTGGTTGATCATTTGTGTTTTGTATGGTTTCTTTCAAGAGCCTGTATTTCCAGTATGCCCCTAGCTGTACCTTCAGTCTAAGCTTCATTGCTTGCATGCAGAATAGGGAGGGTATTAAAGAGGGGTGTAACAAACCAAGGAGAAAGGTCAAGCACAAACGCAGCCCAAGTGGCTGGAAATAGCTTTCTCTTCTTCACTTCAGCTTAGAGAAAGCAGACCAAACTCTAGGCTGCTTGTGTAACATTTTGCCCTCCCTTTCCTTTGTTTGAGCTAGGAAAAATAAGTTACAAACCACATAGCATAGAATATTTCCATCAAGATTCCTGCAGGCTTCTTTTCAACATAAAAAATGGTTACCTTTAAGAATTTAACTTTTCTTTGAAGCTGAATATCTGTTTGCTTCTTTGCCTGTTTCCAGCAGGAAGCAGGAAATTTCCAAGATGTCTGTATTGGACAAATCCACAAACACAGACAGAGTTCAAAAAAGCAGTTCTGTGAAAAAAGTAATGCCTTGCTCTCCTGCAGTCATAGCTCCTTTTTCCACCTTTCTGCGGTTTTTGCTTCTTCTGCCTCTGGTTTTCCCACAGGAGAAACAAGAAACACTTACCCGTGCTTGCAGTGCACATGGATTTTTTTTTTCTGATTAAATGCATAAATGTGTTAAATATTTGGTTCCAAAATATATTCCTTTCCTTGTAGTAAATAAATTATTATTACCTTATTTCTATGATCCGATAGCAACAGTTTTTAGCTCTATTCAGTGTACCTACACACATTACCAGAAAAAAATGATTATTTGATGGGTTCTAGAGAAGAAAACTTGAAACCTCAAATAATTCCTTGAACAGCAGCAGTCAGAAAAGGAAACATGAAATGAAATGAAAGAAAGGTCATTCCCGTAACGAATGTCTTTTTCTAAGCCTCATATTGTATGCAACATTCCTTTGGAAAGAAAGAAATGAAAAACCTGCGATCGGCTGATGTAATTATGCACAGAGAAACAGAAAGAAAATGCTTTTTTTTACATCTGTGTTTTTATGGGTGTTGTAAGCAAGTTTTCTAAATCAGATGTATGTACTGCGCATTTAATATTAGAGAGGAGAAAAATCACCCATTTAGGAGCTACTCTTCAGAGGACTTGCTCTGGAAGAGAAGGCTGTAGATGATTCATGCTTCCAGTTGATTTACCACAGGAACAGTAATCAGGGTAGTAAACAGAAAGTTGTGATTCAGCACAGTTGTTCCGAACTGAACGACTACCTTAATTGTTTTATCCATTAATTATTTTGCTCTGGCTAACTTGAACGTCAAAGGAGAAAGCACATTTGGAGAAAACTCAGCTCACTGTACTGTGGGGTTCTGCCTTGGCTTCTCATCAAGTGGAAAGAACAAATATTAGCAGGGCTGACTGTTAACAAAATGTTCCAAGTTTCATCAGTACCTCCCTGCCAGTCCCACGTTTCTGCTGCCTACCTCCAATAAATACAAGATACTCTTTGCTCAGAGGTGGTCTTCAGGGATCTTCAGGTAATGGGATAAATAATTCAGTGCTGCAAGGATTTGAAGAAACTGATTTTTGTTTCATCTTTGCAAGATTTGAGCAAAATACACAAGTTCAGGCTGGGATGGTTTAAAGCACCTTTAAAATAGGACTTCAGACCTGCGTGGTCTAAATGGATACCAACGTTGACATGTTTTAATCCTTTCTGTCCCCCAGCAAGATACAAGAATAACTCCATCCCTGCCCAAACTCGATCTCCATGTTATTCCTGTGTGGCAAAAAGGCATTACAGGCAAGGGTGTTGTGATCACAGTCCTAGACGATGGCTTGGAGTGGAATCACACTGACATCTATGCTAACTATGTAAGTTTGGGCATTAGAATGCTATGTAATAGATTAATCAGCTGTAAATTTGATATATGGACACTCTTCTCCAGCTTGCTGCCTGTTCTGTAGTACTTTGGTGAGACTGAAGTATTTGCCGGAGGCATAATTTGGAACCTGGTCTGTGTCACAGAAAGCTCGATGTTACTTAGCAATGATAGCAGGGGTTTTTTGTTTTGTTTTTTTTTTCCCCCTCAGTGTATTTAATTCCCAGGTATATTTGTATACAGTGGTTTAATGCTGAATTATTAAAGCTCCATGAAAAATTTATGGAATTGTTAACGCCCATGAAATTCTACCAACTTGATTGCTGTCAGCATGAGCCCCACCAAATAAATAAATACAGAGTCTAGAACCCACTTTGTAACACATTTTAAAATGCATTTTCTGGTTGTCTGAATTAATTCTGGTTTGGTTTTTTTTTTAAATGTAGGATCCACAGGCAAGTTATGATTTCAATGACAACGATCATGATCCCTTTCCTAGATATGACCCAACAAACGAAAACAAGTGAGTAGCCTCCCCGTTGTGTGAAGAGACCAAAATGGCACCTTATTAATTTGTGTGTTAGAACATGCAAATACAGAAATATCTATGTATGTCCCCTGTGGCAATGATATAATAAAAGCAAGAATTAGGTTAACAGAATCACAGGATGGTTGAGGTTGGAAGGGACCCCTGAAGGTCTCCTGGTCTGAGCCCCTGCTCAAGCAGGGAGACCTAGAACCAGTTGCCCAGGACCACGTCCTTCTTGGCTTTTCAATATTTCCAAGGAGGGAGACTGCACAACCCTCCTGGGCGGCACCCTGTGCCAGAGCTTGGTCACCCTCACAGTGAAAAAGTGTTTCCTGATGTTCGGAAGGAACCTCCTGTGTTTGAGTTTGCACAAAGACTTGCACACACCATTGGCACAAACGCTGGAAACTAAGGAAATTAAATTCCCAGATGAAGAACTCCATAATTTTAATCTCCCTATAACGCCCTGAATTTCTTCCTATCTTTGTGTATGTGAGGTATGGGTATGTTCCTGTAAGCTGTTGCTGTCAGCATGAGCCCCACCAAATAAATAAATACAGAGTCTAGAACCCACTTTGTAACACATTTTAAAATGCATTTTCTGGTTGTCTGAATTAATTCTGGTTTGGTTTTTTTTTTAAATGTAGGATCCACAGGCAAGTTATGATTTCAATGACAACGATCATGATCCCTTTCCTAGATATGACCCAACAAACGAAAACAAGTGAGTAGCCTCCCCGTTGTGTGAAGAGACCAAAATGGCACCTTATTAATTTGTGTGTTAGAACATGCAAATACAGAAATATCTATGTATGTCCCCTGTGGCAATGATATAATAAAAGCAAGAATTAGGTTAACAGAATCACAGGATGGTTGAGGTTGGAAGGGACCCCTGAAGGTCTCCTGGTCTGAGCCCCTGCTCAAGCAGGGAGACCTAGAACCAGTTGCCCAGGACCACGTCCTTCTTGGCTTTTCAATATTTCCAAGGAGGGAGACTGCACAACCCTCCTGGGCGGCACCCTGTGCCAGAGCTTGGTCACCCTCACAGTGAAAAAGTGTTTCCTGATGTTCGGAAGGAACCTCCTGTGTTTGAGTTTGCACAAAGACTTGCACACACCATTGGCACAAACGCTGGAAACTAAGGAAATTAAATTCCCAGATGAAGAACTCCATAATTTTAATCTCCCTATAATGCCCTGAATTTCTTCCTATCTTTGTGTATGTGAGGTATGGGTATGTTCCTGTAAGCTGAAGGGAACAAGCTGTTCATGTCACTGTGTGTGTTTCTGGAATGGTACCTCCCTAAGCAGATTTTGACTTCAAGTCTCTGCTTTGCACTGGGAATTTTAAAAGAGTATGTGTCCTGTGAAGGGCTGTGGAAGAGACCGTGTCTTAGGGGAACCTACCAAGAAACCTATCCCTTCAGGGCAGCTTTTGTAGCTAAGGATGCCATTTTCCAGTTCTGGCAGTACCTTTTGGACCAGTAGAGCAGCTTCTAGCTCAGTGCAGGCAATCACAGGTGAGGTCAGGCTCTGACCTCCTCCCATATGGGTATGACACACAGTCAGACACTGGGAGAGGTTACCTCCACTCCTGCGACAATCTTTCTGCCTCTTCTGAGGCATATGGAAGCTTTATTCAGACCAGGTTGGGCCTAAACGTCCTCAAGGTAATAACCTAGGGAGTTTCAAAAGGCTCGAACGCAAGACAATCAGCCAGTTCACTTTGTGGACGTGTGGAATTTTCTCTAATGCCCTCTCCAGAGCTACCCCTTTGATACTTTGTGGAACATCTTGATAGGTCTGTCACACCTAAGCATATCCGTGGTAGTTCAGGGAGGGATTTTGTCCATCAGAAAGGGAAGAGAATGGACCTCTTTAAAAGCTGGTACACAGAAGAAGTCAGTTTCCTAAACCAATTAGGATGCCACTACTCAATAAAGATGCAGCAAGAAACTGATGCACAGATCCCCTATTGTCTAGCAGACAA